TGCTGAAGTTGAAAAAAGTTATTTTTGAGTAGGGACTGAGTTGACTGAGCAATATGTTTTACTGTGTTGTCTCAGTGTGCAACACAGATAGAGAAAAGGTGTAGATCTTTGTTATACTGAAATCTGGACAAGAGGCATATTTGAGAATTTATCATACGTGACCTACTACTTTGTGTTTTAATATTTAGCAGCATCGTTATGCAAAATGTTTTTTAGAATCCTACTGTTTACATTCTCTCAGGCTTATGCTTAACATGTTATAATTGCTGTTGGAAGGAGCCTGACAGTGGACTTGTTCCCCTCTGAAATTCAGATTTTGTAATAGCGTCGTGCAAGTGCCGTGATGTTAGCAAAAAACCCATGCCAGAAAACCCACTTTGATGTTTCTGTATCTAATAAGACTGTTTATATGAGTAGAATGCTTTATATAGGAGGAGCAAAACGTCTTGAAAGAACGTTTTTGAACTCATGTGGAAGAAGGGGGTGGAATTGTCAGAGTGAGTAAAGACATAACAGTTCCTGTTCATTCAGTGTTTTTGTTCAAAAACGTTGCAAAGATTTGTTTTGTTCCTACAGTGTCAAGTCTCCTGCCCAAAATAAAGTTACTCTTGAAGAATTATTGACTGAATCTTGATCTTTCACTCAGTTTTTAATAAAAGCACATTTGTTTGGCTTTTGGTTGGTCGGTTGGGGGTGGCAAGCCAGAGAGCAGCAGGGAGAGTGGGATGAGCTGCCATCCCTACACTGGTCATGCTTGCCTACCACAGGGCTCCATTCTGAGTTGTTTGACACGCTACAAGGGAAGTTCCATACACCCTTGCAGGTCACAGAGCAGCCTCTGACCAAAAGCTAATAGTTAAATCCTTGCAAGTCAATGAACTGCTGTGCTGAATTGAAACAGAAGATGCATCATACCTTGGAAGAAAGATGGGCAGTCAGACTAGATGATCATTGTGGGTCTCTTCCAAGGGAAATACTCTGTTCTGTTCTATTCATTTCTCAATGTCTTGTGTCACTTCTCCACACTGTCTCCCCCCACTTTCAAGGGCAGTAAAAACTAAAGACAGTTTGTAGCTTACAAACCCAGCCCTTTTGCTAGCTGTTCGAGTGGGATTAAAATGAGTTATACAGGTGAAAAATACATTGACAAGTGCAAAGATTCTGGATTGTAACTGGTCTGTGTGTGTGTGAAAGGAGCTCAAGGATTTGTATGTGACTGGGGATGGAAGTTGAAGAACGATGAACTGAGCAAGGGATAGAAAGAAAAACTAGTGTTCCCCGTTGAACACAGAATGGGAGTCCCAGGGTTGGGTTGGTGCACAAAACAATGGCAGACTGCCCCGTGCAGTGCCTCACTTGGATGTGTCTGCAGTCTTGGAAGCTTGACTACCCTACGTTCTCCTACAAATGGACCTTGAGCTTGTTTGGAGGTTCTAGCAGGGGAGCGCAGCTACCGTATACCCTTGACCGATGAACGGTACGTCTCTATCGGGGAAGGTCGTCCTCTTCGACCGAGCGCGCAGCTTCGGGAGGGACGCACATGGAGCGGTGAGGGAGGAAGGGGACACCCGCCTAGCCAGCCAGATCAGCCGAATCAACCCTGGCGATCAATGGGGTGACAGATGTCGCAGCCAGATCGCCCTCACATCCAGCACCAATAGCGGCCCGCAGTGCTATATATGGCTCATCATTGCGACCGCATCTCCGTCACGGTGACCTCTCAAAGGCTGCAAATTCAGCGACAGACAGGTCGGAGTTATCTCTCTGCAACTGAAAATGTTCCCGAACAATACAGTTCAAAGCCTTTACAGTTTTTGTTTATCGTTCCGTTTTCCTCCCAGAAGGCTGTGCGAAATATGCAGAGTAGCGGCTCCCTATTGGGCAGCGCCGCCTGCGGCCGCCGGGCAGGGCCGTGGGG